ACGTTTTTCTTTATTTACCCTCAAAAAATGGAAGTGAAATGTGACAACATGCCCCGTAGGTGGAACACATTGTAACATCTGAGAGGCACGTTGTAACTTGACCATACAGCTTAAAATCTTATCTGATCGAATGAAAAAAATATACAAGACAAACTAAAATATTTTGTTAATAAATAAATATATATATATATTTTTTTTCAAATAAAATAATGGTGTTTTTTAAGAATTAAAAATAATCAGATTTTGGAGTTTGACAATGAACACATTGCAACCATGCTTGGGACGGCCCACATAAACGAGCAAAAATGCTTTACATGTCTTGAAATAATAATTTCTAAACATTAAACATTGACTGTCAGTTTTTATTCACCTGTTTCTCGTTGTTTCTCATTCAAATTAATTAAAGTAAATAGTGTAAATTACATCGCTAATGTCATAGAATAGCACATTGTAACGCAGTGTTACAACGTGCCCCATCTGCGCGACTGGTAGTTAGCGAAGCATTAAAAAAAACTATCTGAACTGATAAATAACAGATTGAGATTAAAATAATAGCAGATTTGTCTCATTTTAAATGAATAATAAAAACTGAGATAAAAAATTTACTTAAGCCAGAATTTAAATGTTACTATGGTAAAATAAATATTCAAACCACGTGTGTTACAACTAACACCCCGTTACTTTGTGCATCGCACAAATTTATTGTTTATTAACAGTTTATTGTTAAATTGTTAAATGCCCTTACATATCTCTGTCACCATTATAAGAGTTTGATCACCACATTTGAGTGATCATTGCAAAAAAATGTGTTTATGTATATATATTCTGTTTATGTATATACTGTATTCTATATATAATACCAGTCAAATGTTTGGACACACGAATGGGAAAGTGTCCAAACTTTTGAGTGGTACTGTACTATAATATACACAAAGAATATCGGCCGATATATATCGGTATCTGCCTTTTTTTACTCCCTAATATCGGTATCGGCCCCAAAAAACCCATATCGGTCAGGCTCTAATTTTTAATATAACTCCGACTGAATTCGTCTGAAAGAAGAAAGTCATATACACCTAGGATGCCTCGGGTGTGAGTAAAACACAGCCTAATTTGCATTTTTGGGTGAACTAACCCTTTAAATTAATCAAAAGTGACAAAATATTTTTCTTGATAATTTCTGAAGAATCATGTGACACTGAAGACTGAAATAATGGCTGCTGAAAAGCCATCACAGAAATAAATAATTAAAAATATATATATATTAAGTATATGAAAAAATATATAATTATATGTTATTAAATAATATATTAAATATATTATTTAAGTTTTTTTTTTTTTGCATTTAATTCTGTTGTAAGTTTATGCAAAATAATAAAACAGGAGAATAGTGACCACAAAGAGGGTTTAAACCCAGACAGATTTCACTGTTTCACTGAAATAAACAACATGCATTGGAGCTACTTTTATTCTTAGCATTATTACAGACATGAGTGGCTCAGCACCTCCCATGAAAAATTCACAGGAACACCCTCCACCCGCTGTGTCCCGGTTTGAGACCTACATCTGGTCATGTTACTAGCAGAGCAGGTACAGGTCCTGATGGATGAGACACAGAGTTCTTTCAACACACACGCTCATACATCCCAGCAGATGGGCTGCTTTTCCTTGAGCGTGAGCTGTGAACATCACTTCTGCTGTGTGTGAGTGTCCCTGAGCAACACATAAACCAGCCCAGCCCTGACTAAACACCACTTTCCTAGGAAAACCAGAGCAATAAACTGAATCTGATAGAAAACAGACACTGAAAACATGAAACGCTCACTGTCTATTTCTCATTATAGATGCTAATACATACAGTATATATGAATTAAAGGGACAGTTCACCCAAAAATTAAAATAAATAAATAAATAAAATAAAAAAGGTTAATGCCTACCGTCCACTGTATTTTTATTTTTTTACCAAAATGACTGAAAATATCATATTTTGTTCATCAGAAGAAAGAAAATCATTTACTCACGATTATATTTTTTTCCCCAGTTAATATTTATTTTGTTTCAAGTAATGAAATTGGTTTCAGTTTTAGTTTCAATTATCCCTGGTATTAAAGGGATAGCTCATCCAAAAAAAAAAAGTTATGTTTATCTGCTCACCCCCAGGGCATCCAAGATGTAGGTGACTTTGTTTCTTCAGTAGAACACATATGATGATTTTTAACTTTAACCGTTGCAGTCTATCAGTCGTATAATGCATGGCAATGGTAACAAAATCTATGAGAGTAAAAATACATGCACAGACAAATCCAAATTAAACCCTGCGGCTCGTGACGACACATTGATGTCCTAAGACACAAAACGATCGGTTTGTGCCAGAAACATATACAAATAAATAAACACAATTTAACAAAAAAATAAATAGATAATAAATAAAAACTGTGGGATGAGGATGATATATATGTAGTATTTAGCGACAGTGAAAGAAGTGTGTGTACGGAGGAGGTTTTCTCTTTTCTCTCATCAGCATAGACAGGACCTGTGCTCTCCGGTCACAGCTGTCTCTGACACGTTCTTATCTGTCCGCTCACAGAGGAAGACACAGCGCAACCCTGACCCCACAGGAGAAATGAACACTCCCTCCTACACTGTTAATACGCTCTTCTTTATTTAACTAGGGTTATAGTAATGTTGAACCATGCACTTCTTTCCCTGTCAATTATGAAGCCCGGGAAGAGCCAATGGGCAATTAAATTCACAAAGCCCTTGTTCTCTTCTCTCCCAGCGGTGACAGGTACAGCGTCTACCTAGTGCAGAGAGTTTAACCAGAAGGTTCTGGACTAATGCTTTTGCTGAGCTGTCTGCTATTCTAATGAAGAGGGCTGACAATAGCTTCGCTCCAACTATACAGCATTTTTAGAAGTAAAGGTAGGAAGAAAATTATGCTCATTATGGCCAAACTGTAAATGTAGCATTACAACCCCAAACAAGCTCGGCTAAGAGAACTGGAATATATTTTTATTTCTTTAAATAGCAACAAGTAGCATTTTTAAATCTAAATTTGATTGAAAAAATAACATATTTTATTATTTTTTTATATGCATATTAGCAAATAATGTCATTAAATAACATGCTTATGGAAATCAGTTCAGGACTCAAAAGAAAAAATTGCCAACTAAGATTAAATATTGTTATGCACATTTTTCATTTAATGCTTATTTACTGCTTTCTTAACAATTAAAATTATATATATTAAAATTGTATATATTTATATATATATATATATATTGTAAATGCATACAAACCCAAAATACAAATTAATATTTTCAATATATATTTTTTTAATTTTAATAATTTTATTACACTATTTATATTATAATTTTTTTTATCTATATAAAATTTACAACAAACTAATGCAGTATAACTGTAATATTTGTTGATAATCAGCTATAATGTAACAGCTATAAACCTCATAAACAGTTTTTTGTAAAAAAATATTTGACATTAGATAGAAACATCCTCAAAACTGAGCCCTGCAGCTGTGATCCGTTTATTGTTGTTGCTGACACAGAGCAATCAGATACATTTATATTTATGCACTTCTACTGCATTATTCAAGGTTCACGTTTATATATCTGTTCATATTTATACTTGATCAGTATTTCATCAGTTAAGATGTCTATGTAGATATGTATGTGTGATATGCATGCTACCAATCTACCTCGCGATTTTGTCACTGCATGACATCGTAAGCAGCCGCTCGCCCTGCAGGACTCCGTCCCACGTCTGTATGGTGTTACTAGAGCGCACCGGGATGGTTCCCTCTCCAGACTCGATCTTGGTCCTCAGCTGGCCCCTTGCCTTCCTGTTTGGGTGTCTGTCTCCCTGGTCTGAAGAGAACAGAAAAAAACAGATGAATTAGACAGTGAAATAAACATTTCAAAAGAATGGGTGGCTCTTACAGGCAATGTTTCTAAAACGTTTAATCTACTTAGACAAACCAATCATTGATTTAATCAACCAATAACACTAACAAAGAACAGTAATTGTGATTTTTTTTTTTGTTGCTTCAACTGCTTAATTGTATGACATATAAAGCCAAGCAAAATGATTCAAATACAACACTCAAGAGAGGAATTAATCAGGCCACAAGCAGAGTCAACAAAGCCAGCTAATTAAAAACACTGATGAAATTTGTTTTTGAAATGCAGTCAGACACTCGAGTGAAATTATAATGAAATGCGACCTGATCATAAGAGGACCCAACCTAATCTTAATTGAATACAACTATTCAGTTTTGATCATTAATTTCAAACAAGTGTTTGAGTAAAATAACATTAGGGCTGTCGCAATTAGTCGATTTTATTCGACTATTCGATTTGTAAAAATCCTTGACTTCATTTTGCTCGCATCGGCTAACCGGCAAAATACCGGAAGTGGCGCATTTCACAGACGAGAATGTATAAAACACATTATTAGTCTGTTTTCCAAGGCTGCATGATATATTAACCCCTAATTACCATATAATTATGTTATAATACAAACCTGATTCCAAAAAAGTTGACACTGTACAAATTGTGAGTAAAAAAGGAATGGAATAATTTACAAATCTCATAAACTTATATTTTATTCACAATAGAATATAGATAACATATCAAATGTTGAAAGTGAGACATTTTGAAATGTCATGCCAAATATTGGGACTTGCATCTATTTTTATTACCACAAAAAAATAATTATAATTATAGGGCCCTATGAAATCCGTTTTATTTCCAAATTCAGTTTTTTCCATTTAAATTTTTCTATACTTTGTTTTAATGTTAAATTAAATTGTATTAATCAAAAAGCCTGTCTAATTAATTGAGTTTTACAGTTTTATCTTTACCAAATTCTGTTTTACATTATTTTCTGGATTCCATTTTAATGGTTCCATTAAATTGTAATAATCAAAAGCATCTCCAATTAATTGATTTTATAAAAAAAAAAAAATTATGTATTTTTTTTTCAGAAATACTGCACATTTAAAATTTTCTCCCAAATAAATTCTGGTAAAAAAATATTTCTGGTAAATACTCCTTCAAAAAGTGTTTTTTATTATAACTTTATTATTAGTAGACTAGAACACGTGGATATGTTGTCATACTTACACTATAATACTGAACTTTGATTTCAGTGATTTGGATTATGAGATGGACACTTGCTTCTTGCACTTTGTTGCACTTTACTTTTTTACTTTTGGATTTCATTTGGTTTAATTTAATCGGAAATTAACTGTTTAGATTAATGGATAAATTAGTCGATAGATTAATCGAAATAAAAATAGTCATTAGTGGCAGCCCTAAATAACATCCTCATCCACCTCCCGCCAGATCCTGTGTAAAGAACGGTATAGTTAGCTTTATTGAAGACTCGGTCTCACCCTCTACACCCGCCTCGTGAGGAGAGAAGATCCGGGCGTCTCCGCAGGGCGATGTGCTGATATAAAGATGAAACTGGACGTTGTCTTTCAGCCGGAAGCCACGCTTGTCACACTGCGCAAATATGGACTTTTGGTGCTCCTCTTTATTGTTACTAAATTTAGAGACAAACGGCAGAAAAATTCTTCCCAATTCTAGTCATGTACAGATACAAAACTGTATGACCATAATTATTTTGACACATTGTGACTGCAAGTTGAACTTCAACAAGACAAACATTTAAAGGTTTGCTCTGTATATTTATTAAATATCTCATACACTGACTTTTGAAACCTGAATTGCATATAAAAATGTAACATGAAACAACAACAATAAAATCATAATAATAATAGTTTGTGTTTAAAAGCTTGTGTTAACATAATAAATGTATTATGTGTGTACTGTATATATTTATATTTATATATATATATATAAAAACAACGGTTTAGTGTAAACACAAACTTTTATTTTGGATGTGATTAATCACGCTTAATCAATTTGACAGCACTAATTATAATAAACGATTATTTTTATACATTATATAATTTATTTTAATTTACTTTTCATAAATATTTCAATCGATCACAGTATTTGGTGGTTTAATAAGTTGCAAAAGGCTAGCTCATGATTAATCTATATCACGTATCAATGCAGAGTATAAATATTACATAGCATATATTAACACTGTTTTTCTTGAATTACATATAACTAATATAAATATATATTAGTGCTGTCAAAGGATTAATCACATCCAAAATAAAAGTTTTTGTTTACATAATATGTGTGTGTGTGTACTGTGTATATTATGTATATAAAAATACACACACATGCATGTATATATTTAAGAAAAATATTTTATGTTTTGATATTAAATATATTTATATATAATATAAATTATATGAATATAAATATATACATGTAAATATTTTCAAAATATATACTGTATGTGTGTGTTTATATATATACATAATAAATATACACAGTACACACACATATATTATATAAACAAAAACTTTTATTTTGGATGTGATTTGGATGAAGATTTTTTTCAACACAGCATTTCTAAACATAATAGTTTATTTAGGAAGCTTGGAATGTTTGTAATACACATAGAAACAACATAATAACCAATAATAAAAAAGTCTACAGGCCAAAATGATTAGCCCTCTGATGTTAGTAGTCAATGGTGTATCCCTTTTGCTTGATAACAGCCTTTAGTTGTAGTTCTCAACAAGTTTCAGGCATGTCTCCTGAGGAGTTGCAGCCCATTCCTCCTTAGCAAATCTCTCAAGTTCCTCCATGGTCTCCTGGCATGGACTCTGCTCTTCAGTGTGCCCCACAGATTTTCTATTGGATACAAGCCTGGGCTTTGTGCAGGCCAGTCAAGGATGTACACTTTGCTCATTTGGAGGTAGTTCTACACCAGAAATGAGGTATGCTTTGAGTCGCTATCATGCTGGAAGACAAAACGTTGACCCAAACCATCTTTTGTTGCAGATTGCCTGAGGTTGTCTTTCAAAATCTTCTCGTAGTCTTCAGTTTTCATGATTCCTTTGACCCTGATGAGATTCCCAGTTCCAAACGCACGGAAACATCCCCACAGCATTATACTCCCTCCTCCATGTTTCACTCTGGAGACGGTGTTCTTTGGGTTGAGCACCTGTCCCTTCTTACTCCAAACATAGGCAACATCTCTATGGCTAAAGAGCTCTACCTTTGTCTCATCTGCGCGTCCTTGACATCGGTGCCTGAATTAAAAGCAAGAAGAAACACACCAACAAAAATCACAAACCATGAAAACTGCTGTACTGACGTCTAGGAATATCTACAACTCAAGATTCAGGATCTGATTTCATTAGTGATTCCTTTAGATATTTTAATAGTAAAAGCATTCTTCATGCACATCAGTTCAGTCAGTGAGTGATTCACTAGGCTGATTCAAACGGATTACTAACATTCTTCAATGTTTAAATGGAACCGTTTTGAATAAAAATCGTATATAGAACTCTACCTGTTGTTATGACGATGCCAGCCAGAACTTTCCGTCGTGCATGTGGAGACGTGAAGTTGTCAGTGAGCTCGCTGAATTTGTCCACTACCAGACGAGAAACGGCATCTGCAAGGACCTGGTAAAGAGCATACAGATGTCAGACTTCACACAGACGGCAATGCTAACATCAATAACACATGAACACACATCAGTACATTCATGACTCTGCTATAGGCAGGCATGGCATATTCAGAACAGTACACGACTCATGGGTATAGAAGGCCATTTCTGTCACAGATACAACATTACAAAGGTAATTGTGACGTTCCATCTCACAATTCTGCCTTTGTCTCGCATTTCATAAAAAAATAAGTCTGAATTTACCTGAAATTGCATCAAATAAACTTGAAATTCAGAGGGGGAAAAAAATGTAAAAATGATTATATGAGTTATAAAATCAGAATTCTGACTTTTTCTTGGAGTTTAGAGTTTATATCTTACAGTTCTGTTTTTTGTTTTTATTAATGCCATGGAATAAAAACATACAATTATAAGATATAAACTTGCAATTCTGTGAAGAAACATGAGAACAAAAATCAAGATTTGTGAGTGCAAAATTTATTAACAAGATAAGTTTTTATCTTGCAATTCTGAGTAAAAACAAAACAAAAAAAACAGATATAAACTCAGAATTGCGAGTTTGCATACATTTTGCAATCTCACAAATCCAGTTTTTCTTTTTTCCATCCCGTGGCAGAAACAAACTGCCATATATGGGTGCATATTATTCAAATATAATAAAATGTTCACTTTTTATCCTCTTTTGTATCCCCTATCCCCTTCAACAAACTTGCTTCAGTATGTAATAGCCACTTCTCATAGTCCAATCAATTACTGATGGATAAAATCAAGTCAAGGCTCTACATTCTTTCTTTTTGAATATGCAATTCCACGAAAACATTTTTTAACTTACAAGTCAAAGTTTAATACTGAGTTTCAACACAATGTACTGATTTTTAATGGAATGAACTCAAATGAAACTCAACTGAATATTTCAAAGAACCTGTTCCTCTATGGACGACTGTAAAGCAAAATTTACCGCAGACCTCAGATTCACCTTCTGCTGCTGCAATATAATATCAATATTTCATCGAAACCCTTCAGGCACCTGAAGATTCCCACCTCTGTGATTCCTTTCCGCTAACAGTGCCCTCCACTTCACATTCCTTAAGCTCCCTGTTAATATGCTGGAAAATGATTATGCCAGGGAAAAATCAATGGCCGAATGGGCAAGAATTAGAGACATTAGTCTAACATTACTTCCCAAATACTTCGGAGTCACTCGGTCGGAGACGGCTAATGGGAGTTTTCGGCGGAGCGTACTCTCGATATATTATCAGGAGACAGCGAAATCTCCAACCGAACAGAAGGCTGCATTTTACTCTCATGATAAAACACACTAGTTTCCACCATCATCTTTATTTGCTTTCATTTCCCATTAGCGCCTGGGGACAGATGACAGGAATTCACTGGCCAACTAGACACTGACAGATTTCACATGAGAGCAGCCTAGAAAACCAAGAAAGTGGAAAAAGGAGGCTAACGCAGCAAGAAAAAAATAAAACATTTCAAGGAAGATAACATACATTCTATGTTAATAACATCATAAGTAATTTTATATCATTTTATATAGTCTAATCATTACACATTTATTATGGTAATAATTATATAATAAACTTAATATTATTCATTAAAAATGCATATATAATTTATCATTTTAAGTGGCAATTACAGTGCAAATAATTTTCTAAGTAAAGGTATATATCAAAATATTACAAATATCAGATAATGATATTATTAGCTAATATGTGCCATAGAAAATAATTATTAATTACACACACACACACACACTGACACATATATACAAAAATAATGTAATATAATATATACATATACTGTATAATATTATAATTTCATTTCTATATAGTCCAATGTTTAAACATTTATGCTAGTAACATTACACTAATAAAATAAAATAAAAATAAATATTATTTACAAAAAATATATACATGATTTTATAATTATACAATTATTATTTTTATTACATAATTATCTAATTTGTTGTTCGCCTAATAGGTACCACATTGTCATAATCCAATGTCTATTTCTTATATAATCCAATGATTAAATATAATTATTAATTACTGTTATTTTATATTTATATATATATATATATATATACATACATACATATACTGTACCTATATAGGAAAACTACATATTTATTATATTATAGAATGTTTTAAATGACGGGCATTACTATAATGTTATTAAAATGTGGCATTATCTGTTACTTTTAAAGCAAAAACTAACACAGTGTCATAAAACATTACTTTGATATATAATTACAGTACTCAATACATTATATACTCAATATATTATATATTTGACATATTGCCCTCTGTCACTCCTATATCATTCAACCTTTCATTGTGGATGTGAGGTCAGTCTGTATCGCCACACAAGAGCAGGAAAAACATGCCTGAAACGATCAGTCGTCCCGTGACCAGAGTCTATTTAACCTCTCGCCATCTGCTTAAAACAAATACACCTCTCCACCTTGGGTCTCGTATTGACAGCATGTTAAATATGTGGCTATCAGATTAGGGATGGATAATGGGGTTTTGCATTCATGGCGCTGTATCTGTCATGCAGACAGACAGCCCAAGAGCCATCAGCATCAGAGACAAAACATGCCACTGACAGGACTGCTCTTTAGTGGACAGGTAGTGGGCAGGCTGAAACAAAATGTTCTTGTTTTGACACGGTTCAGAGGAAGATGTTAATTAAGATTGGGTCGCTTCCAGGCCTGGCCTTATCTCAAAAGCAGGATTAACAGAGGATTTTAGAAAAGTGTAAAGAGACGTCTTCTCACACAAACGCCAGTCGTTGGTCATTTCGGCTCACTGTGTTGTTTCACTGGCAGGAGTGAGCAATATATTGAATATGCATGACATATATCCAATGCTTTGCTTGTGACTTGACATTAAGCAACATGGTGAATCCCATAATGATTTGAACATTTTTATTTGGCCATTCACATTTCCTGAAGACAAGTTCCAAGGTCCTTAATTGTCTAAACATTTGCATGTACAAAAATGTAAAAAGGATTCAAGTCAGTAGGAGTTGGTAAGTTTGATTCATCTAATAAATCAGTTCAGGCCAATTAAGTGAATCTTAATAAATGCATATAATACATAACATATATGCATACACAATATAATAGTAAAACAAAAAGACCATTTAGCAAAATAGCTAATAAATGAAATGCATAAGTGAAGAATATCATCAAATGGTATAAAACATATCAAGAAAGGTTTTTAAGCTATATCACTCAATCCATCCCAATATTTTAACAGAGCTCATCTTCATTTCCATTAGGCTTTGTTCCTAATGAAGACGGCCATTTGTGCCAGTTTTGCGCATCACATTATAAAGGCTTAGATGATGATCTCTGATAAACTTAAACGGATCAGAAACTTCAATTAAACACTATGAGATGTGAAGGACCGATTTCTTATATTCATCAGATTGTTACAGATCAGATACAATCAGACTTTATTAGCCAGTCTGGTGTGTGTGTGTGCTAAAGGAAGCCGCAGTACGAGTTTTTAAAGGTTTAAATGAGGTTCAACGTTAAAGTTTGAATTTGTGAAAAATCCTCTAACTTTTATTAACTGTAATGCAGTCTTCTACAAGATTTCTTTACCAATTGAGGCCTGCTTATCTCTAGGGTATAAATAAACCATTACTATTTACTGCTGCATAGCTGTTAATAATTAAATTACTTTCAAAAATGTGGTGAATAAACCAAAATGTTAAAGGCCATTTAAGATGCATGGGAATTGATGTGCCTATGTTGTGTTACATCTAGATGTTTTAATGCTAGATCCCAACCCACATCTATTTAGCTGTTGCATTGCGTCTCAATGGTTAACTTCATAGTTCATCTCGTGGTTTTGGAACATGCTCTGTGTGAATGAACTCTTAAAGGACACCTAAAAATGACAATTCATTTACTCACAATCATGTTGTAAACCCACAAGAATTTGGTTAATCTTCGAAACACAAATCAAGATATTTTTAATGAAAGATTTCTGTACCTCCACTGAAAGTCCAGGTAAACAAAACTTAAAAGTTAACAAAGGCGTCATTCAACAAATCGTTCAGTTCTGTCCAATATGGATAGAAGTCTATCTAATAATCAGATATAACTGTTAAACAAAGGAATTAAAATGTATACAAAAAAGTATTATAACGATTGCTTTAACATTATTAGTAAAAGAAAGGCAAACATTATAATAGTTTCTCATTTGCCGTCAGCTTTCAGCAAATACGCATTTATATAATTTAAACAAATCTTTGAATGACTAATGAACTTTTAATTTCACAAACCTTGCAGACTTAGTCGAATCTAGATGAGATCTTGTGAAGTGTGCATTTGTATCCTGCATGATCGCGTGTTGTCTGCGTGACGGTCGGTCCGTGCGTGCAAATTGAATGCGGACAGGAGGAGAGTTCAGCTTCACCAGAGACGCGCGATCGACAAACTTTAAACTCTTGATTTCAAATTATGCTGCACTTTATGCATTTGCCCACTGTTATATTCATGTCATTTTCATTGTGTGCTGTACATAAAACGAGTGTTACCTTGGCTTTATTTGAAGAAGAAAAAAAAAATATATATATATATATATATATGAGATTCCCAATACACACAAACTTCCCAGAATACTGAGTGCCCTGTTGGTTACAGTGTTTACTTCCTTTTTAATTAGATTTGTATCAAATATTTATCTATTTGTGAAAAATGCTTTGTCTTTTAAATTATAAGTGTTTATTTTACACAATTATTTTAATCCATTTTCAAATGATTTCAAATTTCTTAAATATAAATTAAAATAAATAAAATTATATCGGCTTTATATCGGCCATCCTGCTTTATCGGCATCGGCTCTCAAAAAATCCATATCGGTCGACCACTACTTACATGATGAACAGACTTCAATTTAAACTTTTGTTCACATGTAAACATCCATACTTAGAGTGAATCCCATTTTGTAAACACAGAAACTTGTGCGTGTCACGTGCTGGAACAAACCTGGGATGCACTGATCTGATACTCAGTATCGGTATCAGCTCCGATACTGGCATTTTCTGCCGTATCGGGTATCAGTCAGACGAGAGGGAGCGGTCAGTGAATGCGGTGCGCTTTGACTCCGTGTTGCGTCAAGCGCATCATTCTGCAGACGGGATGAGCATAAGTGCTTTGTGCAGCTCTGTATTGGAGCCTTTCATATACTTTTGCACAATGAAAGTTTAATAATAGCCTTTCTTGTTCTGTCCTATGATAGGAAAGTGCAAGAAAGGCTATTAATAATTAAATGTATAGCACTCTAATGGAGGCGTGCCACATGTTGCTGCCTCCATTACTGTGCTATACATTTAAAAGAAATATATTTTAATTTTATAGTATATATTTATATATAAATATATTTACTTGTTTTTCATGAATGTATTTTACCACAATACAAAGAGCAATGTGTAACATTTTACCAGGTTTAGTCCTACACTTACTCACTTTTATTTGTTCCCCACTAAATAATGTTATTTCACTAAATACTGTATAAAGACTGTATAAAACTATTGTGCACTCATGATTTTTGTAGAATAACTTTTGCTGCTGAATTATCCACTAACCTAGTTGAAAGTATTTTTGTCATAGATTATATATTTTTTCATTAAAATAAGTTGTCTATATTTAGCAGATTGTGTTGAACACACAAAAGAGTGACTATCAGATCAACACACAGAAGTATAGAAATTCCACATTGATAAAAAAAAACTGCACTGTTATCGGATCAGGATCGGTATCTGCCAATACTCTAGAACAAACCTCATTGATTCATTGTTTATATTTAAACAAAAGCCTAAATAAATCATATAAAGTTTCATAACTCTTGGATAAACCATTGCCTATGGTCAAAATACAAGTCCATAATCCATAATAACTTTCCTCCAGTGAAAATGCCCATCTCTTGTTGTCCTCTCACATCAAAATCAGCCAACATTTTTATTTAGAACTGTTTTGGACTGTTTTCACTTGTAAGCGGTGCTTGATCTGTGTATATTTCTCTCTTGATTCAGATGAGGACTTTTTCACTGGAGAACGTAATATTATGGAGAGAGCAACAGTTTGAAGTTAAAAACGTTTGCGTTTGTTTATTATAAGCATGCAGCTTTTCGATTCACAAGATGTTAATTGATGGACTGGAGTTGTGTGGATTTCTTGTGGATTATTGTGATGTTTTTATCAGCTGTTTGGACTCTCATTCTGATGGCACCCATTCACTGTAGAGGATCCATTGGTGAGCAAGTGATGTAATGCTTCTCCTGTTCTGTTACTATGAAGAAAAACTCATCTGCATCTTGGATGGCCTGAGGGCGAGTACATTTTCATTTTCGGCGAACTATTCCTTTATTAAACTATTTGAGAGTTTTGGTTACTTGGACTTTCAATGAAGGAATCGTAAATGACCACAGAATTTTCCTTTTTGGGTTATACATCACTACAACTATACATCAGTCATTATGTGTAGCCTAGTTTTCTGGCCAGTATGAAAGACTCTGTAGAGATCTCTTACCTGCGGCAGGTGCAGCTGTAGCCCCTCTCTCGGGATGGGTTGGCGGGACGGGGTCTGGTCCAGTTGCATGTTGAAGAGCGCTGACAGAGCCGCTTGGGCAGCCCGGGCTTTAGCGAGTTTCTTATTTCGGCCTGAGCCCTCAAACGTCTGCGAGTCCACAGTCACCGACATCACAAAGTTCTTAGCGTGGCTCTCCCCGCTCTCCGACACAAACTCGTATTTGAGGCCCGGCCGCAGCTCGTTGAGAATCATGACAGGGTTTTTGCCGCTGGTCGAGGAGGAGGGCGGCGGCAGCGGCGCCTGCATGAGGCTGTTCGTACCTGGCACCTGGGGCATGGGATACTCTCCCAGCGGTTTTAAGGAGCCGTTGCCGTTGGAGCCCAGAAAAAACGTTTCCTCGTTCGGTGCTGGTGTCTCAAACCCATTGAAGAGCATGTCAGGGAAGTCAGCTTGGTCGGAGGTGAAATCCGTGTTAACGGTGAGCGTACGGCCCATGGCCAGGTGCGCCTCGGATGCGTTTGGGAACTGCACAAAGGAGCGCAGTGCCTTCTCGGCGGCGTTCAACTTGGCCTTTTTCTTCGTAGGCCCCGAGCCCTCGAACAACTGACCGTTAACCTCAACAGTCATGACGAAGACTGGTGCATGGACCGGGCCGGTCTGCGAGAGCATCTTGTACTGCAGACCCGGTTTGATTTCGTTCAGCTGCATCAGGGCGTTCTTGGGCAGAACCGGCCCTGGCATTTTCTTACGTTTCTTGGGTCTGAATTTGGAGTGCGAGTGGCCATTGTTGCCCTCCTCCAGGGGCCGCTTGCGACCCCCTCCTCCACTACCGTTGGGGAGCTGCTCCACCAGGCCAGCTCCCTCCTTAGAAGAGACGTTGTCCAGGTTGCGGTTTTCCTTTACGTCGGTGCTGCATGAACCTGCGGTGCCCAGAAAGAGTAACTTACAACGCCTTCGTTGCAGGATCTTGTAAATGTAAAATTTATAGATTCCTTTATCTTTCTTTGTAACTGAACAAGTGATGTGTGTTCCTTTTGTTGTGTGTGCCGAGGGATTCTAGCATGACACATTTTTTGACTAATCTTGTGAAAAATAATTATGAGAGAGATGACACTGGAAAAAAAAAATTTCAAGAGAAAAAAAAACGATTAATTAACATAATTAAGGAAGACCATGAGGTATAAAATCTAAATTATCAAAATCATCAGTTTAATTTAAAGTACAGTTTCAGTTTTGCAGGCAATGGCCCGTGCAGAGTCAATCAATCATCTCGTTTGAGATAAAATATGTATTAATGGAGAACAAAAGCAAAGCTTTAAAAAGGACTAATAACGACTAAAATGCACCTCGTTTTGAGGGATGACACATTCTCTTCATATAAGTGGTTATGAAAATACCAATACAACTGGGTGAACAATAAAAAGGTTAAATATTAGAAATGTTTTTAGTGTGGTGTTTTGTGAATATTTCTTTATCAATCAATCAAGCATCATATTTCAACCCAAAAAATCAAAAGAAAGAATAAGTAAATGTAAATAAATACTGTAGTCAATTTTTAAATGCAAATAAAATACTAAAAAACTAAAACAAACAAGTCTACAGGCAATTATTAGGTTTGGCACTTTGTGTGGATGACATTTTATATTTATGTAAAACTGTTTTTCACTCCTTCTAAAGGTTTTAGAAATCAAATTAAATGAACGCTGTAACATTATTAATGTGTTAACTGTGACAGTAAAAACAATTAAACAAAACAAGACAAAACAAAAAAAACAAACCAAACCAAACCAAAAATAAAATAAAAATCTGGCCTTAAAATTATGTATGGTTTATTAATATTATTTGATTTTGATTTTGGGGTGAAACAGAACCTGGACAATTTTTCATGAGTCTTGTCTCATGTGTGTCTATTTACAGGTCACAATTGTTTTGCATTAATAAGCAGATGAAACACACATCATCATGTCCTGTTGACAAAGCGGATGGAACTTTGGGTAAATTTTCATTTATAACATCCTTCAGCAAAAGCTCGCTAGGTTACTGCTTTCAGTGCTCTGGTAGAAAAAGAATAGCATCCGTGAACAGTAGGGGAACAGAGTAAGAGCTCTCTGCAAACAGTAGGAACAACAGGGTGGATAAGGGAGTGGGTGCAAGGCAGGAGGAGAAATAAAATGAAGAGATCTGAGAAGAGAGAAAGCCGTGTGAGAAAAAACACAGGGGGAGCAAAAGAGAACGTGGAGGAGAAAGAACGAAAAATAGATACAAAGAAGAGAGAAATGTACAAAACAGTCTGCAGCAGAATCTGAAAAATTGAAACCCTTCTTATGCGTGTGAATGCACATATCCATGTTACACACACACACACACACACACACACACACACACACACACACACACACACACACACACACTTTTCCGCCCGTCCCATTCTCCCCATGGGATCTGTCGGACTGTCAGAGCACTAAAGCATGCTCTGTAAAACTTCTCATGACTAGAACGAATGCAGTAGACAATCAGACAGTAGAAATTTTAATTGCTTCCTGTATAACAACTGAGGCAGGAATAGGCTGAACAATAGTGAGAGGGGGTGCATGAATACTTAGACAGCGCTTTGACTTGATTCCCATTAAGGTAGATTTAGAAAGCTGTTGTAAAAAAAATGCATATCATCACTCTGGTGGTATAAATATGTACATTTCTTTCCTTATATACTTAATGTTTAAAAGTTTGAGGTCAGTAAAATTCTCTTTTTGAATAAAAATAAATGCTGCTCTTTTGAACAATTTAAAAGAAATCTGCAAAAAAAAAAAAGAGTCATGGTTACACACACACACACACACACTTTTCAGCTTGTGTAATTAATTTTACTTCATGTGATCAATTCTGTCCTAAATAATGGAAAGCACTCTTGCTAAAACAAAAGCTTTGTTCCAAAACCTAGTGAGCTGCCTACTTAGGTGGCAATTTAAAGCATCAATTGCCACCCAAAAGGTACTGTGTGCATATTCAATCTCATTCATTGTGACAAACTCCATCCAATACTCTACGATAATTCATCTGCAACGGAAAGTGTTAAAAACATGCAATATAATTACAAATTGACACAGTATTTGTTTTTGCTATGTATTTTTATGCTTATAAGATTAATGTCAAATCTGTGCTTTGTGTGAGGATCGCTACTTGTATGATGCTCCCTATCTAGAATCTGTGAGGTTCAATTTCAATTAAGAAGCAGACAGCAAGACAGGTCACTAGGTTTCAGAATAAATCCAATGTTACACTGAAAACAAAGAAACCCTCAAAGATTTATGCAATGCAACTTAACTTTAACAGCCCTGGAAAAACAAAAACAGCTTTTATTGTTTACTAGAGATGTTCAAGCTGTCAGTTTAGAGAGTTGCCCACCTTCAGCTGAAAGTAAAATCAATCGCATATGCCGAAAAAGCATAAAACTAACAGTTCTTACAGTTGGCAGTTAAAAACATTGCCTCGCTAGTCACTACATGCCATAAAATGATTTTTCAAAGTTCTAAATAAAACAGAATATTAGAGTGTTTTTGACAAGAAAATACAACTTTAGTGTTTGTACTTCAAAACATTCATGTTTAATTCAATGTGTTACTTGCTGATTCTTTGTAATTATTTGTGAAATTTACTCGCAATTTCTCAGTTAAAATCGTTTCTAATGCAATTTTTTTCAGTACATGTAAAAGCAAACACAACAGGATCTTTCCCCTAGACACATGAACTTTAAAAGCACAAGTAACACCGAGGTGCACTAGGTACTTTTGTGTGCATTAGTAGAGTCAAAAAGACCACCATGTTGATTCTCAATGGGTGGATGGCAATGCAGTCGAATGCACTTCTTGGTCAAAGCTTTCTGAAATTCCTATGGAGAAAATCAATGGGAAAAAAAAGTGGGCAAAAAAACAACTTTTTTTTAAATTAGTCATCGGGTGAAAAATCTGGTGCTGAATGAGTGCGTATAACAGTCGCTCTTGCCAAGCAATGAATCGCTGTGCATAATCCTTTACTTTCATGCACCTAACATCTAAACCTGATAGAGAAATATGCACTGTCACATGAAGAAAGCTTCTGGATATCATGTATGCTTATCAGCAGAAAATCTAAATAAGAAAGTGTCCGCTTCACTACAGATCCGTAATAAATGACGGGACCCTCCATTGTCAGTGGCTCTGAACAGAAGCGGCTGAGTGATGGGACAATAGCGGGTTAGATATCCTCTGGGTTAACAACTCTTCCCAGAACCTTCTATTCACAGCACTGCTGAATGAAGACGATCGGGACTCCGAGACACGAAAAGAACGCTGTGTATTTCTTCAGCCTTGAATCCGATCAGTCTTCTTTGATCACATTCAAGTAAAGCCCAAAGAATTAGGGAACGCAACATTTCTAGGTTAATGGGTTATTGAGCATCAATACTCATAGTTTGATGGTTCCACTGTTTTTTTTTTGATGGTTCCACCTTGTTTTAAAACGCTGATAATTTTTTTGTGTTTTAAAACAAATTCAAATACAATTTTATTATCTATAATATGTTTTCAATTATTTAGATACCCTTTTTATCAAAATTTGCAATGGCATAAAAATAAGTACTTTAAAGGCAAAAATGAAAATTAAAATTGTGTCATCATTTACTAACTATCATCTCATTTTTATTTATTTATTTGTTCATTATTTAGATAAAAGTTAATAGGGTTCAATGTAGTTTCTTCAAAATATCTCATAAAACAACATGATGGTGAGTAAATGATGACAGAGTTTTATTTTTTGGTTGAACTAAGGTAAAAACCAAAAGCAAGTTGAAATTCTTTTCATTATTATGTTTTCTGGTCATATGTTATTTTTTTCAGGAGCATGTTGTGCTGTATGTGGATACTGTACGTGGCATACAGTATGTCTGATACATGTTTAAATTAACAAATATTAAAATATTTATATTCATCTAAGACATTATTGTCAACCACAAGCCATTGCTTTTATTATTTCATTGACTATTATATGCCATTTCAGTCCGATGAAAACACACTACAAAAATCAAAACTAAAAGTTATTTTCATCAAAAGACAAAAAAATACAAAAAAAAGGCTAAATTGTGGCCTGAATGGACTCTCTGTCATGCCAGATTCTTTTGTCAATAAGAATCCATAAAAAAAATGGATTCACGTTATAAAAATTTGAAATTGAATCTATGTAAATAAGACATTTAATCCCTCAACTAAATTTGGATATTGTATCGATTGTTTTCAATTGTATTAACAGAATAAAACAAAAGAAAAAATGCGTCGAAAATCCCAATATATAAAATGTTTGTCAGACAACAAACTCTTGGGAGGGTTTTTTAAATGAACTGAAGATGCAACATAAAAATTCTGTCCATGTTTAAACCCTTGACTCAACAGGAAGTGACCCTCGCACATCTCTTGTGTGTGTGTCAGTGGGATCGTTCGGCGAGAGGGGCCTAGAGAGGGACGGGACGGGAAGGCACATGAACCGTTCAGTAAGTGACACATTAGTTAAGGGGAGTGTGCAGGGCTCTGTGCTGGAATGGAGGGTTTGGGGTTCAGACTCGAGCACTCACTCATGTTCTCCTCCTCATCAACATCCATGGTTGTGAAACGCCTCGACTGGCCCTGCGCTTGCTGAGCCCCGGCCACACCTGAGAGAAACACAGACAGGTTATCATTAGCGCTGCTTGCTTAAGTAAGCAAAATCACTATAATCACATATAATTACGCCGGTTGTGCTACAGACATGAATGTAGACTCAAAGCTTAACTCTTGCGGCTATTACTTTAGCAAGTGTCTGAATTCATGATTATCATTCTTTAAGAAAATCATGCATATTGATTTCCATGAACTTTCCAGTGAGCAGTGGGTAAGGATTTAATTATTAATTTTATTTATTCATTCATTGAAAATCATTTCAAATTCAGACGGAATCCCAAATGATTCACAGTGAATGAAAAAAACAACAACATTCATACTGATTTGCGAACCAGTTCAACTGATTCAAACTGATTCAAACTGATTCAACCAAAAAGAATCGACTAGGGATGTTCATTTTGAACCGTTTAACCGACCGTAAGAATTTTGACTGATTAATACAATCAGTGTTTCCCTTTGTTTCCATATGTTTGACTGACTGTATTTTATTATGATAATGAGCTGGCTGAATTGTCAAGGTAGCAATGCTTAACTGTGTGCGCGCATGCGGCGCCTGCGCAATCACTTGAGTTTTTTCCTTCTATCAGTGGAAGAAACTACTCCTTTTAGTCCTAAAGATAATCGGAATTGTAAAAGGTTTGCCTTTATTTGTGTAGCTACATTCACAATAAAAACAAATCTTTGTGCTTTTGTAAAATAAGCCTAAAGAAAAATAGGATGCCGCTTTCTGCCGTCTGTTTCCTTTTGCGCAGCACAAAAATGAACCGAAATTCTGCATACTAGGCTACTTGTTGCACAGTTTTTCTTAAATTTTCTTAATTTATTATTTAAGTAAAAATATGTTTCTTGTATAGGCCTATTTATTCGTTTTATATATATATATATATACATATATAAAACCTAGCTTTAAGTTTTTCTCCGCTCGCAGAAGTGCTGCAGGTGCGTGATGTGATATGATGACCATGTGAATCCTCATGTTCTGTTGTTTGCTGCTTTTTGCGCATGTAAAACAAATGTTAGTATTTTTTAACGGGTCACAGACACTTATCCTTTCTAATTTAATTCAATTCTAATTTAAAATAATATTGTCGGTTAACGGTTAACAATCGGTTAACGAGCATTGGTTGTCGGTTAGGAAAAAGAACCAAAATGAACATCCCTAGAATCGTCTCAAAAGAACAAATCCTTCACACGTGTGTCATCACTACAGGCTTGCGAGCAAGTTTTGTTCTACGCATAAGCAAAAACCATAGCATTACAGAAAATGTGCATGTCTTTTCCATGCCTGAAAAAGACATGTATTTTAAAATACAACCAATAGTGTTTCCATGACCGTGGGAACCATGTGAATATTCAAGTGACAAATTCAAGAAAACAAACACCCCCCCCCCATCGTTAGTCTCACTGAAAATTACACTTTACCAAAAGAGCTGGTGTTGCAAGAACCAAAGAGAGAGTATTGGCAGTAATATAATGTCTCTAAATAATGGCATCATGCATCCCGAGCTGCTTTAATTAGACAGGCGAGTGGAGCAGAGCGAACAAGAGGAAAAGAAGTGGAGAAGAGAGGCGAGAAGAGGACAGAAATGAAAGACGAGAGCAGAGAATAGAACAGAAGAGGAATGAAACACCATTGACTGGGAGGTTAAGCCTACAGTAAGTGTATAAATATTCAGCAGGAGAAACTAATCTTTGCGAGAAAGGGCCGTGCTTGACAGGCCGTAATAGCAGGAGCAGTCTATTGTGACTTTAATATCCATTCGATTAGACCTCATCTTCAGCTGCCTCGGAGGAAAAATACAGTTATTGACATCAATGGGCTTTTAGTCCACTTGACACGGATGCCGCTTGAGCTCAGGTGAAAAATACAACACAAACACATGAGGGAAATTCAACATTTCATTAAAAAAAGAGCTCATAATAGAGCGGAGATGCAGGGCTGCGTTGACTTGAGGCTATAGTGAGGTGGCTTTTATATGGCAATGTGACAGAGCCGATAAGAAGAGCTTCTAGATTAACTGAAAGAAAAGATGCTGTCCAGGAAATAATGTCAATATTTCTGCTTTCTCTTTCTTCATAGACACATTTTAAAGGGTTAGTTCACATGAAAAATTTACATTTTGTCATCATTTACTCATGTTGTTCCAAACCTGTACGACTTTCTTTCTTCTTTCATGAAACACAAAAGTGTCTAAAATTGTTTTTTATTATTAAATTCTTCACCCTCTATACAAGTTTTATGACAAATAAGGATGCCTAAAATAATGAAAAGGGGAAATCTATTAAAAAACGAATGAGGTTAAATGGTTACGCCAAGTCCTTAGACTTTGTATTCAATTTCATGTGGGTTTCAACATTTAGATAATAAACAAATTGACTAAATGCACATCTTAAATTTTCAGGTACAAATGGTGCAATTTAGCAGGAGCATTCACAAAATTGAATGAACAAATATAAAAATAAAACAGATTGATTCTGTATTAAAGTTTTTCAGTCAAGAGTAGTGAGTGATTTTTCTTTTTGTTTTGTTGTTTTATTAACATTAAATAGTTCACTCAAAAATATAAATTCTGTCATCAGTCTGTCAATTCTGCCATAGTGTTTTGATTTTATACCATCATTTACTCACTCAAAAGTTGTTTTAAACCTGAAGGAGTTTCTTTCTTTTGCTGAACATACCAATTTTAGGGTGAACTATCCCTTTAATGACAAGCGGCAGCATGTTTAGTACTGTCCCTTTACACATCTAATATACAGGCACGTATCCGTTTTTCTCTCAACTGTTTACTTTCATTTTAGACAAGCTTTGTGTGTTAAACCTTGTGTGTTTTGACAGTATTAGCGCAAAAGATAACTTAGTTCAGTAATCAGGCGCTGTTTAACAGGGTTTTAGACTTCTAGTGTGCGCGCTTCAGGAGTAGGTGCTCAGAAAAAGCACACGTCAGAACAGCTCGTGAATGAAAAGTTTAACCGGCAAGGCTTTAAAGCAGATGCAAATAATTGACTTTTGTGATTGTGAATAAGTGCAGTGACCCGTGAGAGTAACTCTACCGCTGAGTTAACACTGATGTGAATGTATGTGGCGTTGTATAGTATATTGAGACGGAGGCGCCAGAACTGTAACTGATTGAATGTGCGCTGTAGCACGATACTACGATATTCTCAAAAGTCGTCATATCGCTCACCCCTATACCTTAAACATTATTTTAAAATATGTTTTCAAAAAATATTTTCAGGCAAAAAAAATAGCATTTGATAACCTGAACTGACACTGTTATTATGACATATTTTTGTTTTCAGGTTTACAAGATTTTTGTTTTCAGTTTTACAATCTCTGGGCAGTTATAATCATCAGAAACAATAATCATAACTTTAGTTTAGAAATCGAAAAAGTCACTGTCTGAAATAACTTGATATATCAGGGCCATAAAAATAAACGAATAAAAAGTATGATGTCATTGACCAAAGCATTGAGCAACACCTTCACTATCAGTACTAAAGTTTCAAGTTTCAGTTTATTTATATAGCACGTATAAAACAGCCACACGGCTGACCAAAGTGCTGTACAGAAATTCAAAATAGTAAAAAGAATATAAAAATCTGCACAGCTACACAATTAAACAGGGTCTCGCCTTAATAATAAAATAAGTAACTATATTAATAACACAAGAGAAACGAAGTATAAACCCATAAAAGACTAAGCAAAGACCATAACAGAAAATTATTTGTAAGCCAAACAAAACAGATATGTTTTTAGAAGAGATTTAAAAGTGGACAGAGAAGGGGCAAGTCTAATCTCTAAAGGGAGGCTATTCCACAGCCGCGGCCCAACCACTGAAAAAGCACAATCCCCTCTACGTTTGAATCTGGATTGTGGGACTAGAAGAAGATTCTGATCACTGGATCTTAAGTGTCTTAAGCGAATTTTGAGTATATGGGTATAGTAATTCAGATAAATAAATAGGGGCTAGATCATTTAAAGATTTATATACAAATAAAATAATTTTTAAATCAATTCTGAATTTAATAGGCAGCCAATGAAGGGTCCGCAGAATTGGAGTGATGTGAGCACTTTTGCGGCTATTATGAAGGAATCTGGCAGCAGCATTTTGAACTAGTTGAAGGCGATCGATTGATAACTTAGAACTACCACAGTATAGTGGGTTGCAGTAGTCTAAGTGTGAGGTGATAAAAGCATGAACAGCCATCTCTAAAGATTTATGATTTTTTTAGATTTTTGATAACAGGCGAAGTTGATAAAAACTAGAACCTATTACAGAGCAGATATGTTTATCAAGGTTTAAGGACTCATCTAACAAAACTCCCAGGTTCCGTACACGTGAAGATCTAAACACTGATAAACTATCCAGATCTAAGCTGGTTGCCTGAGAATTATCAGAGGGCCCAAAAACAGTCACCTCAGTCTTATCTTCATTTAAGGATAGAACATTTTGGGCTAGCCAAAATTTAACGTCATCTAAGCATTTTATTAAAGAAGTAAAAGCAGAGGGATCATTTCTCTTGATAGGTAGATAAATTTGGGTATTGTCGGCGTAAAAATGAAAAGACACCCCATGTCTTCTTAGAATGGTTCCCAGAGGAAGCATATACAGGGAGAAAAGAGAGGGCGCCAAAATAGAGCCTTGAGGAAGACCGCTGGTTAAATGAGCAACAGAAGAAGAAAAGTTACCTAACTTGACTAAGAATTTTCTGTCAGTGAGGTATGTCTGAAACCACTTAAGGACGGTTCCTTTTATCCCCACACAAGCCTCTAGTCTAGATATCAAAGTAGAGTGGTGAACAGTGTCAAATGCTGCTGATAGATCCAAAAGCACGAGGACCACAGAGTCGCCAGAGTCCGTAGATAAAAAGATGTCGTTTAGCACTCTCAAGAGGGCAGATTCGGTGCTATGTGCAGATTTAAAGCCAGATTGAAACATTTCAGAAATACCGTTGCGACTGAGAAAAGACTGGAGTTGATCAAACACAATTT